AATAGAATAGAATAGAATAGAATAGAATAGAATAGAATAGAATAGAAATAATATGAAAAAAATTAGTAAACAGAATATGATAAATTGGTGTTCAGAAATAACCTAACTCCTAAGCTAATGTTTAGAAATGGCTTCATAATTACTTACAAAAGTAGTGTTATTTATGCCCCTATTAGCTTCTCTATTAACCAGTATAATGTACCGTGTCTGATTCACTGTTGATAACAGTCTAGAAGACGATTTAATGTGAAATCATTGCCAAAGGCATTTGTTGATAGTGAGCTTTCTGTCATATCTAAAATGACAAGAGAGCAATAGAAATGTTGAAAAAAATGATTTCTGTGTTCTGAAAATGCTATCACTGCTTGTCTGTGTAATCAAAACGTTTTGTTCTTTCTCAAGGAAAAAAAAACTGTTCAGTTGTGGTTTGAAAAGACCTTTGAGACTATCACTGCTTATTTATGAGGCTGATTAACTATTAACAAGTCTCTTCCTTTTTTGGGAAAATGTTAATATGTTACTTCAGTTTTGGTGGAATAAAAATGACCAGCTTTGATCTTCTGATTTCCTGCAATTGCAAAGGAGGAATGTTTCCTTATCTTTAGGTGTTCAGTCTCTTGTTGAATTTGAAGTGATCTGTTCAACTTCCCCTAATTTTCATTGTCAAACCATTTAATTCTCCAGAGATTTCTGAGGAACCGTACCAAAACCAACAAATTCTAAAGAATTTGAATAAGCCATTGAAATGCTATTACAATTGCCAATTTTTTTGATTAAATCAGACCTCCCCAAATGAATATCCATTGGTCAAGGATTCTGTGTTCTCATGTTATCTTGTATTTTATTGACATTGAGAATACAAAAGGAGAAATGGTTGTTATATCCTTCATGGATACGGTATCATTATATAATGTAGTCATCAGGTACCCAAAGAGGCACAGTAGCTCAGTGGTCTAATGACACTAGAGATGATCCTTACTCCAGAGGTTCAAATCCTAACACTGTGTGTCAGGGTGAGCTCCTGTCACTCACCTCAGCTTCCGTGCACCTAACAGTTCAAAAGCATGTTCTATAAAATAGACAGATAGGTACCACTTCAATGGGGAGACAGGTTAGTGATCTGTACAGGAAGACAGATTTCTTCCAGCTGTGAACCTTCTTGGTTACAGTGCCCATTTATGAGGTGGCTCCTGACAAGGGGGGAGGCTACAATTATGTTGTAAGAAGAGCCACTCAACTTTCTTTCTGGTGCGAAGCCAGCTTACCTCCTGTGGCACACCTTGGGAAGCACAAAAGTGTGCCCTACAATAGAGCTGATAAATTGGCTGCCAAACTACTCTGCAATAGCATTGTGATCTCCCGGCTAATGTAACAACACCATACAATCATCATCATCATCATCATCATCATCATGTATTTCTTAATGTTCTATCTCAGTGAAATGAGAAGATTAATAGCAGTTCTGGTCTTGTAGAAGGCAAGACAAAAAATTAGAACAGTCTCTCTCATAATATGAATTTAGATCTCTTTATAGAGTACCAGATATGTTTACTGGCTACTCTGAAGGAGAATTATGATCCTGGGACAACAGAGTAAGGAAGTTGTTTTGTCTTTACCTTGTACAATCCTATTCTTTTGACCATTATCTCCTTTCTGTTTTGTAGTATAAAAGAAAGCTCTCCACCTCAGTGAAATGGGACAAGATATTTTCCCCTTCAAAACATACATACATACAAGGAAACATACATACAGGGAAACAGATCAGTACAACTGCATAAGCCAATATAACTTTGAAACCCCCGTTATGTAGAAGGTGATAGAACGCTGTGCAGTTAATATCAGTGTTGGGCAATTTGCTGATGATTAATATTTAAATATTAAAATAATTCCACATCAACATCTTGGCATCTATTTCTACATTAATCATTGAACATTTCTGAAGACTGAATAACAAACACTCTTGAGAACTTAGTAACCAATTAAATGATTATCCTTATTTTTCCTTCATGTATAACCATTGGAGGAAAGTACAATATATCTAAAAACATCCAACTGGGCAGCAATAAGTAAAGGTAAGCCTTGCCTTGAATGCAAACATTAGAATAACTTCCTTCATAAAACCTATTATTCTTTCATATTATCTATGCTAGCCTTCCTCAAGCAGGTACTATTGGTCATATTGGCTGGAAGATAATGGAAGTTCCAAGTTCAAGACACTCAGAAGCTACCACGTTGGGCATGGATGATGTACTAAAAGTATATTTTCAAGGGTTATGAATAATGGTCACTGAAACTCTAATATCAGTTTATGACTCAAGTTTAGCATTTACTTGGCAAACTGTGGTAGCTAGTGATTTAAAAAAAACAACAGCAATATATCGATTCTTTTATTTTAAATTAGATAGGATGAAACTCTGGATTATTTTGCTGGCTGTTGCAGTCAGCACAGAAGAAATGCCAAGACAGAACAGCTGTGTTGACAGATATCCTGGCATTCCTGGGAACCCTGGACACAATGGCTTACCAGGACGAGATGGACGAGATGGAACAAAGGGTGAAAAAGGAGACACAGGTATCCTATTGCTTTATTGCAATGAACTGTATGTTCAGCAATGTTTCTGAAGCATGCAAATGTTTCTGAAGCATGCGTAAAAGCATATCCTCAATAATGAATATTCTGATCTTTGTCCAAAGCTGTAACGGTCAATCAGCAGCCTGATAGTTGACTCCTGAAGGTCATACCAAATAGTTAATGAAGGTGTTGTAAAAATGTGGCCCATCATTTAAATCAAGAGAAAGCTACATTTGTTTTCAAATGCTGAATATACATCTGGAAGGAAAGAAAGAAGAATGATTGGGTGTGACTGAAAAAACCAACAGTCCCAACCCTATCTAACAGATTGATAAATGTCAACCAAGTTTTATCGTCACAAGGAATAAATTCTTATGGTCCACCATAGGTAATGTACTGAATAGTACATACTAGAGCTATAGTATTGCCATTCAAGGCATTGTCTCATTGACACAAGCAGGAGATGCCTCATTGGTACAGTCACTCCCAGTGACAAAATTAAGCATATATGCATGCTAATATTACCCAAGGAGAAAATGGTCTGATTCAGACAAAATGTTAAACTATGGTTTGTTCAACTGTGTTTTATTCAATTAACTATCATTACCTAAGTTCAAATTACACACTAAGCCATAACGTTATTAATTCAATTTTTTTCAGAGTTCTATCCTGCTTTTTCTCTAAGAACTTAGAACAGTGTGTGTCTGTAATTTCCTCTAATTATGTCATACAACAACACCCTTTTAAGACAGGCTGGGTTCAGAATGACTGGCTCAAAGTCATCCACTAAATTTCTACTGATGGGTCTCTCATGTCTAGCCCAATACATTCATCCTTTATATCACCCTGATACCTTATTATATGGTGAAGAAAGTACAATACTTTAGTGTGCAGAATACATTAAACCCAAGCCAACTCATCCCATGATGGCTTTAGCCAGTTATGAAGCACAGGATAATCTTTCTTTGATTTTCTTTGTACTTTAATTATTGATATCTGCTCTGCTATATAGACCAAAGAAATCAACTCCACAGGAATTCAAGAACTATTCTTTAGAGAGGCTATAACAACAAAATCTTGCAAGTCTGATTGTGCTATAGTGCCTCCTTTTCCTTATACTTCAGTGAAATTAGGAAGGTATCTGTTTGAAGTTCTGAATGTTATCTCATTGATATGAACAATTGCTATATTTTGCTACTATTAGGCGACCCAGGAAATCCGGGAATGTCAGGCCGAGATGGCATCAATGGAAATAAAGGAGAATCAGGTAGGAGCCAAAACTTGCCTTATCTAAAATATGAGGATGTGCTTATCTACTGGTAATGTTCTGTGATTAGGTGTTGATTTCAATACATACCTGTTTTGTTTCAGGAAAACAAACATAATGATTGCTGATCAAACAGCTATACAATAATTATTTTTTTATTTAAACTATTATAACCTCATGGACAAATTGTCCGAGGTTCAATTTTAAAAACCAGTCAAATAACAACTGACAACCATCAAGTCTGTTTATAAAATTTTATAAAAAGCCAGAAAATGGGGTCTATCAGCCTTTCCTAGTCTGATGTCCTCCAGATATAGTAGATTTATAGTATCCAGCAGGGACAGGTGTCAACTTTGGAAGCCGTATTAGCACCAGAAGTTTCTGCGCTGCCATATTCCTATGCCTGGAAATTGAGAGGGGGGATTTCCTAGAGTGTACGCAGTTAGACATAATAGCATTCTTCTTTACAGTCAAGGTCATGTCATCCTGCACCTGGACAAGGAGTGGTTAGAGGATGTCTCAAGTTGGGACGGATGGTGACTGGGCCATGTGATAGACTGAGGGGTGCAGGCTGATGAGTCTTTGATTTTCAATTACTGAAGGAAAATCCAGATTCAGGTTTTCCCAAATGTGCCAGTATGACAACTTCAATAAAGTGGAACTTTGAGAAGATGTTTGTCTTGGAGTTTTGTGAGTTGGAGTTTGTTTCCTGGAATGCTGACACCGGGTTGAGGAAAGCTGAGGCCCATAAGTTTCTCACTCTGTGAGAAGAAAACGCAACATACCAGTTTTGGTGTCTTGCCAGTTACTGGAGTCCCATTGCAGTTTGGAAGGCTTAGCATGCACTGTTTGATCATGACTTTGGTCCACTTTGACCATTTTATCAGAGTGTCAATCATATTGAGAGCATATTTGATTTCCTGACAGCATAGTGATATATCTGTACTCTACTACTAGTAGAATCTTCGATACATAATTTCATTTTGGATGTCATGGACTGAGAGGTTATACTGGTAGTTTTTAATAAAGTAGTTTTTGTCCAGTGCTTTGGAATTAGTTCTGGAAAAACACTTTTATGCACACAGAAGCAGGAATTTATCACCTGTCTCAAAACTTTTTAAAGGGAGGTGTTTTTTTTATAGATACAGGTAGTCCTCAGCTTACAACAGTTTGTTTAGTGACCAAAGTTACAATGGCATTAGAATGACTGTTTTTCACAATTACAATCTTTACAGCATCCCCATGGTCATGTGATCAAAATTTAGATGCTTGGCAACTGGTTCATATTCATGACGATTGCAGTGTGTCTCGAGCTCATATGATCCCTTTTTGTGACCTTCCGACAAGCAAAGTCACCTCATCTGCTCTTGGTTTTGTGTTAGCTAATGTAGGAATAACAAACACCTTTTCCTTTTATCTTGGATTTCTGCTTTCTTCCCTCAGATGACAGATGCTTCCACAACCCTGTAAAAGATTAACTGCTCTTTCCTTTCCGTTTAGGGGCTGACGGCAGAGTTGAAGAAAAAGGGAACAAAGGTGATAAAGGAGAGCGAGGCTGGCCTGGGAAATTCGGGCCAAAAGGAATTCCTGGACCGGTCGGGGATAAAGGTCAACAGGGGGAGCTAGGACCACAGGGAAGGAAGGGGATAAAAGGGGACCTTGGACCAATTGGCCCCAAAGGACAAAAAGGTGAAATTGGAATTCAAGGTGAAATAGGATTAAGGGGGCCCATCGGTCCAAAAGGCCACGTGGGTCCTAAAGGAGAGATAGGGGCCCCCGGACCAAAGGGCAGTAAAGGCAATCAGGGAGAAAGGGGTTGGAAGGGAGCACAGGGAGAAAAAGGGAATCTTGGCAGTACCCCAGTTATTGCCAGAAGCGCTTTCAGTGTGGGCCTTACCGCTAAATTTCCTCCACTCAATGTTCCCATCAAATTTGATAAAGTCTTATACAACAGCTTCGACCATTATAGTACCGAAACCGGAGTGTTCACCTGCCAAATCCCTGGGGTCTATTATTTTACCTACCACATCACTGTTTTTTCAAGAAATATGAGGGTAGCTCTAGTTAAAAACGAGCACAGGATGCTCCACACTGCAGACATGTACCAAGGGGCCGAAGACCAAGCATCTGGAGGAATCGTCCTGGAACTTCAGAAAGGGGATCGGATATGGCTGCAGTCTTATGGAGGAGAAACTTTCAATGGATTGTTTGCAGATCCAGATGATGACACCGTCTTCAGCGGCTTTCTTCTATTTAGTACCTCAGAAGCACCAGCATCTATGGCCTCCAGCACATAAACTGCTTGCTTGGTTTTGAATATGTCAATTATATGGCACAGCTTAGTTTTCACATGAAGTTTCCATCAAAGTTCATATGAAGCCAAATCAAGAACTCCCAGTCATTTTTTATTTTTTTTTGCAGAATAATGCTGAACACCACTTGTGCATTACTTTGTGTATATGGTTCCTAAATATATTTTCGCTATTTTTTTCAGGAACTCTACAATTGCATCAACACTAATACAAAATGCTGGTATCTTACATAATTATTAATCACAGGATAAAAAAAAATCTTGTTATTCTTTTCATTGAGTAAACCTGTTTTAACTTTTTACAAAAATATTTTAGACTGATTAATAAAATCACACAATCCCCTGTTATATATTTATGCCTACATATGTTTAAATAAAGCAAAATTAGTTTTTTTTCAAGACAAAAAATAATCCTGGATTTCTGTTATTTTTCATTTCTACTCGCCTCAGTCCTCAATAGACTTTAAAGCAGGGCTGTCAAACTCCCAGCCCGCAAACTGGATGCATCACGTGCTGGTCACGCCCAGGCCCGGTTTAGCGAAGTGGAAAAAAGTCGCAATATGTCACGTGATGACACCATGATGACGCGAGTTTGACACCCCTGCTTTAAATCAAGCGATTCCTTGATCACATATTGCATTCAATCATTATTTGTTTTAACCATACTTTCTGGAGTATATTAGAAAAAGCTAGTATATTAGAAAAATAAGTATCTCTTGCTTGGGGGAAAAAACTGATTTATTTAAATTTAGTTGCTGTTGCCCTGGAGTTTTGTGGATTGTTTGGGATGAGAAAAAGGCACAAAATCAAATCAGAAATAAACCAAGGAAATAAAAAGCAAAAGGGTGATTAGAATGTTGATTTTGGAAAGTTGTTAAAACAGATAAGAAGACAGATTCACTGGAAACAAGACCTTTAAAAAGTTATTACTTCCTGTAGTTTGTCTAAAATTTTATTAAAAATATATGAAGATTTTGAGTTTAAATGTAAGAAACCTTTTCCTGTGAGAATGTTCTGGTGAGAAAAAAGGAGACCTTGAAGGCTATTTATTAGAGGCAACCAGAAAGAATTAAATATTATATCGTAATTAAAGCAAAAGACTCATTAATAAAGAATAAAGATGCAAGGAAATTTGGCACAATACATCCAGAGCTTTATCTATAAACATGGGCTTAAAAGAAGAGATAGAATTGAAATTCATCTTTCAAAGATTTTGAAGACTTGTTTGTAGATATAAGAAATGGGATCTTTTTTTAATTTGTATTTTTAGAAAAAAATGACAAGGGCCTGCATAAAGGAAAAGAAAAAAAAGATGATTTACTTGTTTAAAGATAAACAAACAGTTATTTCTAATTGGGCTTTTGCTGATTAAGATTTAAAGATGAATCATCATCATCGTTATTGTTGTTATTATCATCCTTCATGATAGACTGGAAAAAAGGTTAAGAAAAAAAAATCTCCCCAGAACAAAAAAATGGAAAACCAAATCTGTGTTGTCAAATAAAACGATACAGGTGTTTCCAGATAGCAGCCAAAGCCTCATTCGACTTGGGAAAACTTTTACGTTTTATCTGCTGGAGGGAAAAACAAACCACTATTAATAGTTGTCGTTGGTGTTAGGTAGTTGAAGACCAAGTAGCGCACTCCTTGGCTGGGGAATTCTGGGAGTTGAAGTCCGTCCTGTTCTAGTATTGAAGGTGCCTTAGCGAGCGCGCGACGCCGAGCAAAGCCGCCGGAGGGCGGGGAAAAGCTGGTTGCGCCGACGCTCCTCCTCACGGCCGGGCCGCGGAAGAGGCCGTCTCCGCAATCCGGAACCGCTCGGCCGTTTTAGAGGCGGCGCGTCTCTCCGGGGCGAGCGGTCTCCTGCCTTACCATGTGGGCTGGATGGCACCGGGTGGCGCGCAGGGCTTCGGGCTGCCTGAAGCAAGCGAGGCTGGGGCGGCTCGGCGGCGGCACGAAGAAATGGGTCAGCACCAGCTGGGCCCCGGTGGGCGCCGCCTTCAATGCCCAACAGCAGCGGCTGGCGGTGGGGCAGAAAACGGTGAGAGGCGGGCTTGGAGTGAGTTGGGGCCGAAAACGACCAGAACATACGTTGGAAGAGACTCGGCAGCTTTCTTCCAAATGAGATACAGATACAGATACAGATAATCAGAATTGGAAGGGACCTTGTAGGTCATCTAGTCCAACCCCCCACCCAAGCGGGAGACCCTACACCATTTCTGACAAATGGCAGTCCAATCTCTTCTTGAAGGTCTCAACTGATGGCGCTCCCACAACTTCCAAGGGCAGCTTCTGTTCCATTGGTTGATTCTTCTCACTGTCAGAAAGTTTCTCCTTATTTCCAGGTTAAATCTCTCCTTGTTCAGTTTCCATCCATTGTTCCTTGTCTGGCTTACAGGTGCTTTAGAAAATAGCTTGACCCCTTCCTCTCTGTGGCAGCCCCTCAAATATTGGAAGACGGCTATCATGTCTCCCCTGTAAAATGGATTACAGTTTCCATAATCCTTTGCCACAGCCATGCGATGGCAACGGATTATGCATGTTGGGGGTGCTGATTTCAGAGAGCTGGAACAGGACGACAACAACAACAACACAACTAATCATCACACAGACAGCCAGAGGGTTCAGACTTGGTTTGGCATTGGCAAATCTGGATGTTTGAGAGTATTATAGATATCCTTGCAGGATAGAAGCTGTTCCCAGTAAAGCTGCCTTCTGCTGCTGCTGCTGCTGCTTTTATTATTAGTGTTGTTGTTATTACTATTATTGGATCATGGTGCCTGGAATAGACAGATCTGGATATTTGATGGTGTTACAGATATCATCAAAGGATGGAAGCTGTTCCAAATAAAGCTGCCTTCTGCAATTGACTGATGGCAAATTATTATTCTTGTTGTTGTTGTTACTGTTACTGTTACTACTGTTATTGCTTAATCTTTAGTGAGATTCACAGCCTCTGGGGCTGGTTGATAGCTCAACAGCTCCCGTCCTAACCAAGTACCTAAGAACTGTTCAGGTAGCGTCGGAGGATATAAGCTGTTCCAAGGTTTTTTGTAAGATCAGGGTATTTAAGTCGGACAAATTCAGGATTTCCAAATAGCAAGGCAGCCTTTTAGGTATTGCTCCCAATTACAATTGGGATAACACACGATTTCTTTTTCCAAAGTCGCTCAACTTCAATTTGAAGTCCCGATACTTTATGATTTTTTCTTTATTTTTTCTTTATTGTTATTATTTTATGATTATTATTTCATCATCATCATCATCATCATTATTATTATTATTATTATTATTATTATTATTATTATTATTATTATTATTAATTAGAGAGCTGGAAGGGTGCATTATTATTTGGTTTGGTTTGTTGCACAGTCAACCAGATGTTTAGACTGGATTTGTCATTTTTATCCACTTATTCCCAAATATTTTATTTAGGCAGGTGTGATTTCATGGCTAGTATTACGTATTATGAAAGTTGGGTATACTACGTTCAGAGAGTTGGAAAGGGGATTTTAATTATTATGATCCGTTGCATTGTCAACCAGTGATTGGATTTAGCATTTTTGTCTACCTTTCGAGTCCTTTCCAAGGACCTGGGACAGGCAGATGTGCATGTTTGTTACTATTGTTATTTTGGTGCTTTTGGATCAATATTGATTTCTGGCAACTCTGGACTTTTACTATTATTATCCATATACTGTGAGTTGGGTTGGGCTGAGAGAATGTGACTAACCTGAAGTCCCCCAGTGGGCTTTCATACCTTAGGTAGGACTAAGAACTCACCATTTCCTAGTTTTTAGGCCAACACCTTTACCATTATACCAGACTGGCTCTCTTTGGGGCACATATTTTAAAACGATTGGAAGCCCAATCTGCTGACAAGTGAAGAATGAAAGCTGTCCTAACATATAATCTCCTAAAATAATGGATTGGGCTTGCTTTATAAAGTTCTTCCTAAGGTACACTGGAATCTGCCTTTCCGGAACTTTAAACAGCCAACCCCAATCTGAATCTCATCAGATGAATTCTTGGCCTTGGTTATGTTAGGGGATTCTGGGAATTAAAAATAACTTCTGGAGGATGCCCAGGTTGCTCAAGGATGCTAAAGACCATTTTTTGGTGTTCTGGGTAGAGGCTAGGTTCTGGTTCTCAGCTTTGGGGAAAGCTAAATTGAAACAATTCATGACAATATACTATCACCCTTTATTTTACAAATTGTCATATAATACTGCTTTCAAGCAGGTAGCCACTGCTACAGGAGTGCTTAAAAGTTTATGAACCCTTTTGAAACCCTTTCTCCACACAAGTCCCAAAACTAAATAAATTAAATAAATTAAATAAATTAGGCCAATTAAACTAATTAGTCAAAAGATTATGCTTGTTCATTTATTTATTGAGGAAAAAGATCCAAAGTTACATATTTGTAAATGACAAAGTACATTTATCCCACACACGTACTCATTTAAGGACATGCCAGAAGAATTGTTGGAAGAAGCGAAGAAAAAAGTTAATAATTTCCTTCACTTTCTCCAGAGAGCTCAGTTCAGATCTTTGGAATATGTGGGACAAAATATTTTCTCCTTAGTTACTGCTCAGAGTTGCAACTGCTGATTTTCCGCCCTTCGTTACTGTCCATTGTTCTCAACATTGTGCACCTTTGGCGGTTAGTCATGCCGGTCACATGACCACGGAGCCGTCTTTGGACAGCGCTCGTTCTTCGGCTTTGTAACAGAGATGAGCATCGTCCCCTAGAGCCAGAAACGACTAGCACATATGTGTGAGGGGAATCTTTACCTTTACCTTAAAATCTAAATTAACCTATCACAATTTTCCACTGCTGAGTTGGGGGAGCCCAATTAGGTGGTTAGCTTCATAGTACATCTCCATTTGGGGGCTTCATAACCAGCTTCCAACAAGCAAAATCATTGGAGAAGCCAGCAGTAAATCACAGGTTCTGCTTAATGACTGCAGGTAATTCACTTAATGACCAGAGATTGGTAGTTTATTATTATTCATATAAATCAAATTACAGT